GTCCGAACACGTCCGAGCATGTTTCTAATTAAACTATATGTAGCGGCCACTCGGATTGAACAGCCAGACGCAGGGAGTTTCAAACGGGTGCAGTTTAATCTCGACCTTTCTTTCCATCGACACCGTGAAAACTGTAGTATAAAACAAAAGGATACAGAACCGTTGGACATGCTCAGCTCTTGTATAAAACCACAGAAGGTAAAATGGTTTAGCTACAACAGGAATGAGAGTCAAAAGGCCGGTGCTCAACAGTTCATTTGCATTTGCATGGCTCTCAGCAACTTCATTTAAATACGAAAACCTCTGCTAGGCCCAAGGGGAGCGGGGTGACAGGGGAACACGGACACACAGTGTTTTTGACCATTCTTGGCAGTGCTCTACAATTGTCCACTCTGACAAAAACCTCTTGCCGATAGCCCTCAATCTCCATGCGCACGGCAGAACTAGGTGTCAATAGCTGTCGAAAATCCCACTTTTCATGCTGTGAGTGTTGTGACAGTATTATCATAAGATTAAGGAAGCTATTAAGAAAAGTAAAATGAATAGCGATGGCTTTTTATGGAGCATTGACTGCAAACTATTTTAGAGTAACCTGTTTACATGTGTAGTAGAGGCCAGGAGTGATGTGATTGTGATGTGATCTGCCTCCCTGACATAAATCTTTCTTAATTATAATTCTCAGCTATTATTTATGTCTGAATTTACTGAGCTTTTTGCTTTTTCCAGTGCAGAATGAAAGTTGGCTAAAGTGCATCAGCAAGACTACAGACACATTAAAAACAATTGGATAAGTGCGGTATGTGATTTAGTAGCACATATGGGAGTGGCACAAATCAGATTTTTATTTTTTTTTGGCGGGGGGGTGTGAAAAAAATCAGTATTCAGATTTTTAGACTGTCATGAAAAAGTTGGATGTGGGACATATGTGGACAAAAAAAAGAAAAAAAGATTTGGGTCACATTAGCCTTACACTCTGCAGTTCGAAATTCCAACTTAGGACAGACTAATGCAGAGCAGGAATACAAGAGGCTTTTTTTCTTTCTTTCTTTTTTTTAAGTATTGTGTTGCAAAAGGTAAGTCAGGTAATAGATGTTATAGGAAGTTTCAGAAACCCTTGGAGGGCAAAATAAAGAGATGGAGAAAGCTGCTAAAAGGACCATGCAACATTACACACAGTTTTCCCTTGTTAGTAAATTAAAAATATAAAATGACATTTTTTTTTCATCCCATAAGATTATGGGATGTTAAAAAGGGCCAGAGACATTACAGAAATGGTGTTATTTTCTCAAAGCAGGGTCCAGTACAGTACAGTTCCAGTACATCAAAGCAAACAGGGGAGAATGAAATGGCTCCTAACAAGCAACGCTGAAGCTCAACTCCACAAGGTCTGCGAAGGGATATGGTTACTGTCACCTGTGGGTTAAAGCCTCCTCCCTGGTTTGATGTTTGAATTTGAGGTTATTTGATGCTTCACTTTCAAGTCGGCCTGACAGAACACGACTGCAACCAGATTTCCCAGCAGGACTCTTAACTGCTCTGCAGACAAACTCGCACACATCACCCTCAAGCCACATCAAAGCAGAGCTCTCATCTCTGCCCTTTATGAACGGCACCGAGACACAGATGGGTTTTATATTGGTTTGGCTCCGTCTAGTGGCGGATATGTAGACTTACAGGTTCAAACATCTTTCGTCAGTAAAAGTGGTTCAATGTTGTTGCTTTTTTTTCTTTTTTTTTCTTTCTCTCTCTGTCAGTGACCATGGTGTTGTTTCTGATTGGATCCTCCATCACTGTCAACAATTCATCTCATGACAACCGAACTGCAGGTAAAACATCAAAGGTCTCGCACTGCTAATCTTAAAGAAAGAACCGTGTATGTTTTAAATATCACAGGTTTTTACGTTTGTTTCAACATACTGGAGTAATTCTCCAGATCGTCACACAAAATGAATGTGATGCTGTTGTAAAGAAGAAATTTGAGAGAGTAACTTATCTTTCATTTCCACGGCTGTCCAGGTTTGCCAGGTCCGTGTTGTGCGTTTTGAGCAAAAGCTGATTTAACTTTCGAATGCCAGTGAAAACACTGAAACAGCCTTTTGCTCTCCTGCTGCCAAATTGGAAGCCAGCGTCAGCATAGTGCTGCTTAATGATGTGTGGAACATCTAGAAAATAAAACCCAATTAGAACCAATAAATGTCCAGGAGTTATAAAAACAGATGGGGAAAGAGTTATAAATTAAAATCTACGGAAATCCAGAATGTTGATATGGATAATTTATAGGTTCCTTGTGTATTAAAAAAAAAATATATTCTCAAGGCTAATTATTGCAGAAATAAAAACGTTCAGTAAATTACAAAAAAAACAAAAAAAAAACAAGATAATCTAACAGTTCACTGCATACCATTTAGAGCAACACTTCCAGCAAATTTGAAGACTTTAAAACTACAACTGCATGGCTTCTATTTAGCACAATTAAAAACAAAGACAGTTGCACAAATTAATGCTTGAGCTCTGGGAACTCTTCTGAATGCTGTTTGTTTCTGCAGCAATCTTAAAACCGCCTCCTTCTCTGCGTGTCCAGGCTCACCGAAGGTGGACTGAGTCAGAGAGCAATCTGTCCTGCAGTCTGGACAAGGCATGTCCATTTGTTTTTAACTCACAATTCAAAACTAAACAATATATCTATATTTATTTTAATTCTGGAGTAAAATAATGAGACATGATATGACCAAAAACATTTCAGGAAGGCCTTGTTAATTGGTTTAATGTAAAACATTACAGACTGACAGAGTTAGCAATCGTGGTGTCAAATTCAACACAGTGCAAAATGTGGGTGCCTATTAATATGATATTTTTTTATATGTTTATGCTGTATGACATAGCATAAACAAACAAGAAAAAGATATTTTTTTAAGTTTCAGCTTTTCTTTTGCACAGAAACAGTTTAAAGAAACGAGGCAAAATTTGCTGCTGACATAAAAACAAGCTGAGTCGTTTATGACAGCTCTGTCAACCGCAGCATTAAAAATGCATGAAAAAGAAGAAGTAAACATATTTCTTTTCCCTCTTAAAAAGTACAGAAATAATGAAAGTTCTTCAAAAAGAATAGCTAAAAAAATTTAATCCTGTGGATTTTCTATAATTGTGCACACACAGACAAAGTTGGATGTGAAGAACTGAAAAACAGAGTAACAGCAATAAGTAATTCTCTCTCAGCCAATCGCCCATTGTCACCAACATTCAATGGACAAGAGACAGGGTACGGGATGCCAGTTCATTTCAGGGCAACACAGAGGCAGACAGGACAAAAAGAAAAAAAAAAAAAGAATTTATATATTAGCTCCTAGTGCAATTTTAGCAAAAAGCGATAAAGCTTCGCTGATTAACTACTCTACAAAAGACCCACTAAATATCCCAAAAGATCTGGATTTTTAATTAAAAGAAATGATTGTTCCACATTAGATTCGTTTAAATAAAACACCAAGGAAACTGCAATATTTTATTTATGTCTTAATGATAAATTCAAGAAGACTAAGAGATAACTCAGACTGAATTCTTGTAAAATATGTCAGTAGTTGTCACAGGAATCTAATCCCACGTCTTATCGCAGCATGATCAGCGATCAGCGCATTACTGATAACAATTGTTCTGAATCATTATTGTGAGCATAATCCCACTGCAAGTTATTTCTGTACATCTGTAAGGTAAAAGTTTTTCCTTGAGTGGAATTATGCAAATTAAAATCGAGTCATTTTTACTTGATGAGTTACAAATTGAGTTATTTATGCAGCATTGAGACTTCTAAGCTTTTTTGATAAGTCAGAAGTGAAAAAAAAAAAAAAAAAAAACTAAAAAACTTTTAGTTTGAAGCTTTTTTGTTTTGAAGTAATCTGTTTCACCGGTTGTTTGTGCAGAAAACCCCACCCACCACGGTGATCACGTCCTGCCCTCGACGCTGATCATATCCCTGCTTCTTATCATTGTTGTCCTGCTAACAATCTACTGCCTGAGGTAAATAAAGTCGCACAACTCACAATTACTTTTCTCACCGTCTCCCTCTTTTTTTTTTCTTTTTTTTTATCATTAAATGAAAATAAGGCTGAATGTGTCAGGGCGTTATTGTTCGGGGGTCTGGGGGGGTTAAACAGGAGGCGAGCAGTGGCTTATGGGCTAACAGCTGCTTGTTAAGGAAGACGGCAAACAAAACGAGTTGGGTCAGATGAGGCTTCACATTCCGAAGCGACAGCATGAGGAGGAACAGCTTTACTTCCCTGAGATGGTTAATGTTTCCTTTGACTTTCTGACTCATCTCATGCGCTGAGCCGTTCTCCGCGGGCACCTTTTTCCGCTGAACTTGGCTCCCTTCATCAGATGGTTTTCATTACCTCACCCTATTTCTTACGTTACAGGTTTAAAAACCACAGGAAAGCCCTGGTCACATCCGTGGATAAGAAGATTCCAAATGGCTTCTTGGAGGAACAAGGTACTCCTTCTGCACTCAAAGTAACCACCGGAGCATGAAAATATAATGCATCCATTTTCTTTTTATGCCTTTTTTTTATTTTACTTGTAAATTTAAACTCTTTATGAACAAAGGAAGACTCATGAGCCAAAGCTGGAAAAGTTGTGTGTATGTGAGGGGGGGGGTCTTAGGTTTCATAGCACGTAGGGAGTCACATAAACTTTTCTTCAAGTGGAAAATAAATGTGCGGAAATGCCAAATTCCGAGCTGAGATGGTTTTGAGCCGCAGCACCAATTTTATGACTCCAGAAATCATTTCTGACACGTTACCCACAGAGGTAGGAAATCTTAATAGTCATCAGGCTTGTTTGTGCAGGTGCTGCGAGATCTTGTAATGTCGTCCACTGGGAGACATTTTCTGTCTGACCACCGTATATCCCTCTATACTCAGGAGAGCAGACAGTGGTCCTCCTCCCTAGATCTCCCTCGCCGTCCAAGAGATACTTCCCGATCCCTCTGGACTCGCTGGAGGAGGAGTACCGGATACGCTCCGCAGATGACGGCAAACTCTTCAGAGAGGAGTTCAATGTAAGATTGTTTGGTGTGGATGACGTTTTTTTTTTTTTTTTCTTCGTCAGATCGTATATCAAGTACGGTGGAAAAAACAATAAAATATTTTGATAGATGGCTTTGTACCTGGTGCTTTTCTTTTTTTCTTTATCATGTGAGGGTTGGTTTCTTTCTTTGTAGTCACTGCCATGTTACTACCACCATGGGTCCTTTGAGGAGGCGAGCAGAGAGCACAACAGAGAGAAAAACAGATACCCAAACATTTTACCATGTGAGTGAGGGTCTGTGTATGTTGGGCCGCGGGTTTATTGACGGCTAAATCACCGGGAAAAGCAGTGCAGCAGGCAGAAATAAAACTTACTTCGCTTTATGTCTCCTCTCTTGTCTCAGACGATCATTCCAGGGTGATACTCAGTCAGCTCGATGGACATCTGTGCTCAGACTACATAAATGCCTCTTACATTGATGTAGGTATTTTTACCCAATAATTCATCAATATAGTCATTCTCTCTTAGCTAATCTAGAGTGTTATTTATTTATTTATTTATTTCCACACAGGGATATAAAGAGAAGAACAAATTCATCGCAGCTCAAGGTAAAGTGTTTTAAGAAAACATTTGAGTTTCTGACTCTTGATGTGTTTTGGAAATCTTTCTCCCGATGTTCCAGGTCCCAAGCCTGAGACATTGGCTGATTTCTGGCGAATGATTTGGGAGCAAAAAACCACAACGATAGTGATGCTGACAAATTTGAAAGAAAGAAAGGAGGTATGTTCCTAATTTTTTTTTTTTTTTTTTACCAAATTATTTCAAACCCTCCTGTAAACACCACAAAGTTTTTTGAGACCTCTTATGTTTCCTTGTAAGCCAAAGTGCTGATTATCTTTTATTTGACCCCTCTTCTAACTGGGAATCCATTCAAAAGTGTCACCCTGCAGGATCGCTTAGCGTTGAAATTAAATTCAGCCTAACGAGGATAATTGAGTGCTCAAAAAGCAAGTTTGATGGGGCAGATTAGAGGCAGTGGGGATCAATGATGAAGTAATTGTTGATAAGATCCTGAGAGGCTTCATGATAATTAGAGAATCTAGTTAATGGGTTGAAACGTCACTGTGAAGACCTTATCGACTGTTAGTCCGCCTCTGGATTGAATTTTTAAAAGACGCACTGAAAATGTAAATTCCTCTGCTCATACAGTGCCTTGATAAAGTACCGTAAGTATTCATTGCCTTTGAATTTTTTCCAATTCTGTCACACTACAACCGCAAATGTCAGTATTTATTTATTTTTTTTTTGGAATTTAATGTGAAGGACCGACACAGAGTTGTGGCTTCATTATCAAGTGATGCATCAATTTTGCACATCCAAAAAATGTAAATGTTTCTCCATTTGTCTTATCATAGTTTGACTGGAACTCAGTCAAACTTTTGAAGGTTTGTCACATATTATCAGTGGAATGAGTTCTGAACTTTGACTGGTCCATTCTAAAGAGGTGAATATGCATTTATTTGAGCCATTGCGAGCCTTAGCTTAATGTTTAGGGCCGTTGTCCTTCTGAAATTTGAACCTCTACCCTAGTGTCCGGTGTTCTGCACCTCCCCGTCTTCAAGGTTCATCCATGTTCCTATTAACTCAGACTGACTTCTGTTCTTATTGAAGTCAGGAAACCCGTGATGCTGGAACCACCATTCTGAGCGTTTACCCCTTAGGAGAAATAGGCTAAATTGAGCTTGCCACAGTTCTCAGATTTTTATTTGTCAAGAATTGTGAAACCTGTTGATCCTTTTCCTCCAACTTCATAGTTACGTGTTGCTTTGTCTTGGTTTGTCCCATAAAAGTCAAGTGAAATACATTGTAACATGAGAAAATGTTGGAGAAAAGGTACGAGAGGATATGAGCACCATGGTAAGAAATTAATGTGACTGCAGTTGTAACTGCAGTATTTTTTTATGATCGCTCTCCTTCTCCAGGAGAAATGCTGCCAGTACTGGCCGGAAAAAGGCTGCTGGATGTACGGAAATATCCGCGTGGCGACTGAAGACGTCATTGTGCTGGTGGACTACACCATCAGAAAGTTCTGTGTTCAATACGTAAGTGAAAATCAAGGTATAGACTTGTGCTGGTTACTAGAAGTGAATGATGACTTAAAATGAGCGTCACTTTAGAAACAAGTTATATCCCAAGTTTTCAAACTGATTTTTCTCTTTAGATGTTATGTGGTGTAAAACAGCTATTTGTTTTCCCTATCTTCTTCATTTATGCAAATGCAAAACCAAGAGTAAAAAAGTTTCCTAGTCGGAAAAATGAATATTTTAGACGTAAAACATTAAAAGGGTACAGATGGCAGAAACGGGATATGTCATCAATAAATAAGCGTATTTCAGCAAACAATAAACAACGCCGTAATGTTCCGAGTTTATCGCTACTTGATCCTCAGGAATCCACGCGCATTTTGAAGGTGTGTTTGTTTCTTTTTCCCTTTTTTGATTGCCAAGTCGGATGTCTGCTTGGTGTGCTGCGAAGCTTTCACATTTCAAAATTCACTTTGTTCCTTCTCCGTCTGAAGCCAGACAAGCGCAGAAATCCTCTCCGACTCAAAAAAAAAAAAAAAAAAGAAAGGATGAGTGCGCTGTAGCTCTGTAACGAGTGTTTTCACATTTAGCTCTCTGAAAACACAGCAACCAAGAGAGTGGAATGATGTTCTCATGGGAGTGAGGCAAAAGGAAAAAAAAAAAAAAAACTCAGTTTGATAATTACATTGTATCCCTGAAAGCACAGTGAGAAATATACCCAGATAGCACATGATGTTAAATCAACGTTGAAAAATAGTTAGAATCGTTGATTTTTGGTT